TTAATAAAAAGGAATCAGGACACCCAGCAGAAATGATAGGCATTCAGCTGGAAATAGGAGCCAAATACAAAGCAGATCATACTATCCACTTCAGTAGTGACAGGGTCACAAGGAGATTAGATAGGTAGAGTTTCATTTGGAGAGGCCACTATCAAGGCGACCTCTTAAATACAGTTATGTTCATCAGAAGTGAATCATGAATCAGTGACCAACACTATGAATGTTAGAAATTACGGAACATTAATCCAAATTGAACATTATACAGTATATGCTATGAAGAATGCATGACAAGTGCAGTTAAACTGATTCTTTTTACCACATTTTATATTCTTTTTTAAGAATGATAAAAGCTTCCAGTTCTGTTGTTGATTTTCTTTGTACTACATTCAAAGGGAATATTAAAATATTTTGGACAATTGTGGTACTCATCCTATTAGAGAACAGACACAAATGAGCCAGTCTGTGGTGTTCTTATCATTCTACACTTCACCACTGAATTTTGGATTGCATGAAAAGACTTAAAAAGCATACTATACATAATGATTAATTAATTTAATTAAACATTGCAGCCTGTTCAATATCACTATTATATTAGTTTTACTCATACTCGTCAGATTGGCTTCATTCAAAACAGGTCTGCTGGTTACTGTATAGGGGAAACCGTGTCTAAATTATAGTCATTCTTTGTCAAGTAATTAATCCATTACCTTAATTCCATACTTGATTTCACTTTGGTCTGCTCTTGTGAACATAAAACCCCAGTGATAGATTTTTCAACTGGCTAAACAGTTCATATAATGGTTTATAGTTTATATAACAATTAAGAAAGATAGGGGACATTACCACACCAAAGTTTGTAAATGAAAGCATTTTTCTTCCACTTTTTAATAGACCTTATCCTTCTCTTGTACTTTTATATATTTATTGAAATATCAAAAGTTTAATGAAAAACACATTTGTCCTAGCATTTCAGGACAAAGAATCTTTTAGCAGCGTCTTATCTTTTGTGTCATTCAAACTAGCATAGTGACTTTCTTACATTTTAATTACTTATCATTTTTATCTGGCTTGCAGTAGAAAAGAAAATCTACTCAAGCAATAAAACTATCTGGGAAACCATCCAGGAATAAGGCAGTAGATAATTTAAAAACTAAACATAATATTCACTAGAAGATAATTTGGTACTCCTCTGAGAGCATATAAAGCAAACTTTGGATAAATTTCTACCTGTATTGTGCATTCCATCAACATCTTCAGGTAACTGAAATCTGAAACTGAAAACATTTGCTTGGTTATATCCTTTAGATGAGATTACTAGAATACTGTTTAGATGAAATATTTTAGTGACAAAAATTATGGGAATCACAATAAATTATGGGAATCACAATAAACAAAACACTATCAAAACAACTCAACAGTTTCCTGACCCTTTAAGAGTTACCCTTGGGTTGCTTGTAGAGTTGTAACATCAAGTTCCACACCCCTCTGTATTTGACAGTTGTCTCAGTGTTTTTACAAGAATATGCATCACTCATATGCTCCCATGCACTCATTTTGTGCATGGGAGCCATGCATAAAAAGTAACTTCAATCACAGAGAATGGTCATTGCTTGCATTGAGTTGCATTGAGATATGTGCAGGGCATACAATAACATTTGATTGGTTAGTTGGTTGGTTGGTTGTTGGTTGCTTTTAAAAATAATTTGATTTGTATCCTGCCTTTATTTTGCACAATTCTATACATAATTTCATACATATTGCTCCCACCTCCTATATTCCGCACAACAATTCTTGAGCTATGTTGGGCCAAAGGAGAATAATTATCTTAAAGTCATCCAGCTGATTTCAATGCCCAAGAGAGAACTAGATCTGATAGACTCCTTGTTTCTAGTGCAAATGTTAATCAGAACACCAAACTGGTGTAACATGATATTGATATTGATGTTATCATCATGACATCATCTCTGCTTTGTACATGATAATTGAAATGACTGTAGTTAAGTACAACTGTTAATATGTATTGACTACTACAGCTTCTCAATATTGTTAGATGGTATTTTAGTAGTATTATTTTTCAATATAAGCAAATAATTTCAATTTTTGAGGAGTCTGAAGGGGTCTTGGGGGAAACCACAGAGGTTCTATGACCACACTTTAAGAAACACTGGTCTAGAGCAAGTATTGAGATTTTATAACCTAATCTGGAGAATTCATTTTGTCTGAATCATAATACAGATGCTATAATTGAAGAAAGAATCCAAAGCTTCCAACTCCTTAAAGGCTCTCTAAAGAAGCCTAAGACTCACTTATTGGAACTATAGATTAGTGGTGTTTTCTTAAGATGCTCTGTGTGTGATTCAAGGTAGATAGATCCTATTTAAGAACAAGACACTAAATTTGATTTCTCATTGGAACAGCATTATCAATCTTTGAGTCTCACAGTCTAAGGTCATGAAAAAGCTGATAAGAACCCCAGGCTCATCCCAACTCATAACTCAACATCTGAGGAACTGTTTGGAATGGCTGCAAAATTTACTTAGCAAATGTAGGGGGAACTACATTCTACTTCTTAGATTTAGAAGACAAAGCACTAAAGTATGTAGTACGCAAAATGAAAAGCATAGCTTGAGCAAATAAAGATTATTTCTGAGCCTATTGTTACCCACAGTCATGTCCCACAGCTACCAAAATAAGGATAAGCGCCCTTGCCAAAACCTTTCTGTTGGTAAATGGGGAAGAATTCTTCAACATAATACACAGTAGAGAATGTGAATAATAGAATCTCCATACGTTATTATATTTTTGTACTAATCACTGTGTCATTGTTTCCTTAGTAGATAATCAAATTATATGCTGAGACTTGGTGTGTAATCAATCTGTGACATGTTATGGGTTAGTTTCAATCTGAATGTCCTCTTTAAAATTCCTTTATACTCGCAGTTCTGCAAAAATAAACAGGTGAAAAAGAATACTCTCCCACTGTGATTTATTAGACAGTGCTTTGGGGATGCGACCCTTTTCAATTTCATTCCCTATGACTTCCCAACTGATTATGGTCTCGTGGGACCTTTATACAGGATAAACAAGTAATTAGACAAGCAGTAATCAAGCTTTAATCATGGTTTTCAAGCAACAAGTGATAGTAAAAATGCTTTGCATGTAAAAAAGAAAAGAAAAATATATTGCACTATACAGATAGTCTTTGACTTATGACTGGTTATTTTATGACCGTTCAGAGTTGCAATAATCTCAGAACAGGTGGGTTACAGCCAGTGGTGGTACCAGTTCTCTGCCCTAATGATTTCTTCCAACAACCAGTTTGCCAAACTGCTCAGAAAGTTAACAACCGGTTCTTCCGAAGTGGTGCAAATTGGCTGAATCCCACCACTGGTTACAGCCCATAAAGCATTTCAACCTTGAGCTACAAATATTCTCCTTTATTGGTAATGATGCCTGTACAGTAAGCAAATCAAAGAAAAGAAAAGTGGGAAGAGCAGATCTTCCAGGAAACACAGCATGCAAAGATGCACCAGTGAAAAAGAAAAATTTACCCATCACCCAGAAATTCATGAAAACAAAGTACCAAAAACTTTATTAGTAGTTTTTTCTCCAATTGCACTTTTTTACTTTTTTTCAATCTACTGTATGATTTTTAAACACATTAGAAATAATTGGCTGCACAGTGTTTGTTTTTAAATGAGTTATAAGCATGAAAATAGTGACTGCCGTTTGAAAATAGCATTTATCATTTGATTCAGTTTTCCATTTGAACAGTTCCAGTAGTATTAAAGGAAATGCTTCGATGATCAAAATATGTTAGAATGTGCAACATTTGTGATATTTTTTTTAAAGTTGGGTTTGTTGTTGTTTTCTGTTGTTTACTACCCTCTGTTTGAGAAGACTTATTTTATTCAACTTTAGTTATTGGGTTTTTAATAATTCATTTCCCAGTGGGAAGCTATAAACTTAGTTGTTTCTGGAAAAGTACAAACAATTTTATACCCAGAGCAATAATAAATTATCCTTATCTCTTAAATCCATTTTCTCTACAGTTTTCTGAAATATAGAAGATAGGAATTAGTCCTCAAAGCAACATTATTTAAGAGACAGCTCAAGACTGAAATAGTCTCCTAAAACAAATGTTGAGCTATCCCCTAAGCAGTATTCAAGATGATTGTTATATATCCATATAAACGTACATTGTTTTATGCTAAGTCTGTGTAAAGATATCTCCCCAAAGCCCAAGAAAAAAGCATTAAGTCAAAAGTACATTAAAGTAGCTATGAATTTATTTCAACAGCCTGGAATTCTAATTTGGATGAAGCTAAACAACCCACAGATGCAGTGATTTTAACACTATTAACAGTGAGGAAGGTCAATAATTTAACTGAATATTGTTGGAATCAATTGTCAGTGGAAAAAAATTTGCTTTCAATAAATATGACTCAAAAGCAAGATGGAACAAATTTTTTAAATAATGTCCAGTTCTGCTTAAGGAGAGAGCACGTTGGTTAAAGAGTTCAAGAGAGCGTAGAGGTGCTTTAATTATGCTGATGTAATTGCTTTCTATTTTCATTTCTAGTGGTGCTGTGAAAATTTTCAATCCAACAGACATGTACAAATAATTATGCAAATGCACTGAAATGTTTGTATATATAGAACTGCTGTCAGTTTACTTATCTATTCAAAATGAAAGGGCAGAATTCAAAGTTTAAACAACAGATGCTAAGCCCATATTGAGGTATCCAACAGAAATAACTGTTTTGGACTCAGGAGACAGACATAAGAATAAGCAGTTTTTACCTTCTGAAAGAATCTTTTTTTTCTCCAATAGTTTAATAAATATTGTATGAGCCAACATGAAGCAATGTATTAATGAAGTGATATTTATCCAGGAAGCAGGTGCACCAGTTGGGGTTACTGCTCTCTAGTTTGCTATTGACCTACGATGAAGTTTAACCTTTTGAACATTTTTCTCTCTGCTTTGTTTTCAATCTCAGTTCCCCTGGGACTAAAATGGCAAAAGAAAGTCAACACCAGGCACTAGCAGCACTACCAGGTACCACTGTCGCTACTGCAATAGCAAATAATGCCACAGAACCAGCGATACCCGGAGGAGGGAAAGGCGGTGCAAAAGAAGATGCATTTTCAAAGTTAAAGGAGAAATTTATGAATGAACTAACCAAAATTCCATGTAAGTAAACTTGCTATTGCTGTTATGGCTCTGTAACAATAATCTTTAAAACTGTATGATTATTAACATTTACTAGAGCAATGTAACATGCATGGGAATCCAAGCCTAAAATTAAGGAATAATTTCAGAAACTAATGCAGACAAAATCCAAAAGCACAATGAAAGTAAAGGAAACTTAACATTATGATATGCTAGACTGTCTCATGCCTAAATTTAATGAAATGGCACTATATTTTGGACTAAATATAACTACATCCATTCTGGCATGGTATTATGTGCAGTATTGGTTATTATTTGACGAACCTTGTTTAAAAGAATCCTAATTGTTTATGTAGCAATGCCAGAAAATAATTGAATAGTATATGTTATTATTTTTCCCCACAAATCTCATCTATAGTCTTTATAAAAAGTAGGTATCTATAGCATAGAAAGTGTGATAGAAATATTAGATTAAATTATATTGTGTGTTTTAAAGTTATCCCATGATGTAAGGCTATGGTGACATGCTGGTCAATCAGTTTCCTGTTGTAACCAATGGATCAGGTTGGTTGATTTCAAAAAAGTAGACCCTGCACTTGAAAAAATGTTAGGAAACCAAAAAAAAGTTTTATCCAGGACTAGTCTTTCATCAAGTATTGGCAAATTGGGGTGGGGTTGTGGACCAAGTTCTATGAGATTCCAAATCAAGATCAGTCTTAGCCATGGGAATTTCACTGGATAACATTGGATCAGTCACTCTTTCTCAACCTTCACAGAGTTCTTCACAGAATTGTTACAGGAAAAAAATGGAAGAGGGAATATTATATATTGATCTGGAAAAAGGTCATGATACAAAATAAAACAAAATACATACAGCTGCAGAAATTCAGTAGATTTGAAACCATTGGCCAAAATATATTTTAATAAACTTCGCACTTGGTTGATGCATGAATGGAAAATTGCCAAAACATCCCAACACTGTAAGCTAAATTGGGATTCAAAAACATTTGTAAAGAAGGCAGTGTCAAAGCATTTCAGCACTGTTGCAAGAAAAGTACATAGAAGTGTCTCTGTAGTTACCAGAAGTTCAGTTTGACTATTCCTCCTTATTCTATTTTTACTGTCCTTTCACTCAAATGAGTACTGAGAGCAGCTAATAAATTAAAGAACAAAAATATCCCAGATGTTAAAATGTAAATTAATACGGTAAAGCTGATTAACAACTACACTTGATGGCAAATGCAGCAACTGAAACAGTGCATTCTGTAGCCTGTAAGTAATACAAAGAAAAGCACTCTTTCCCATGCCATTTTTGATGGAATGAAACTGCATTTAAAACAGATTGAATACCAATTCTGAAGTCCTGTTTCTTCTTAATCATCAATACTTCCTTCTCATTCTTCTTCTTTGACTTGGAACTTGCACATGAGCAGTAGTTCATTATCTGTTCCATAGTCAGCACCAGATCATGTCTTTGATGCTATAATTAAGCTGCTCCATCTCCCTTTAGTTGTACAGTCAATTTTATCCCTGTATACACACCCAGTAAATCCATGTGTACATGCATTATTTTGGTTGTTCGAAGACAGTGTTAGTTGTGACAAAATCACAGTGGGTGGCAGAAATTGATAAGTTGTTCTTCAGATTCATTTTGGTTTCCCAAACCATACCATTCAACAACATTTTTCTATTTAATGTTTCCAACTTCAGCATTCTAGACTCCAGTCACAAGTAGCAAAATTTGTTTGCATGTGCTAGAGATTTCAAATTGAACTAAAATCAGCAGTGTCAAATTGAACTAAAATCAACTCTAACAAAGAGTTGACCCCCAAAGTCTAATTATTGGATCATTGATTGCATTGTAGCCAAGTATAGTTATTTCTATAGTCTTTCAAGCTATAAAAACAGTGCTTTTACTACTTTGTTAATGTCCTGAGTAATAAACAGTGTGATCTTTTGACTGAAAGTGTCCAGTCCCAGTCCCATCTCAAACTGCTGGTGCCTAAAATATCAATTTGTAGTTGTCTCATTTTATCTTCTGCTGTTTTGAAATTTCCTATGACCATGTTTCTTCCATCCCATATGCCTATTGTAATTCTGTCTTTGCAGCTTCAGATTTTCTTTTCCTTTTCAAAAGCAGCAACTAATTACAGATAGTCCTCAATTTACGACCACAATTGAGTCCAGAATTTATGTTGCTAAGTGAGAAAATTGTTAAGTGAATATTGCCCCATTTTACGTTTCACACACACACACACACACACACACACATTGGTTAAGCGAATCACTACAATTGTTAAATTAGTAACACAGTTGTTAAGTGAGTCTGGCATCCCTATTGACTTTGCTTGTCAGGACTTGTGGTAAAGCAAAAAAAAAAATTGGGAAAAATATATAAATGGCTAGAAAAGATGATTGGAAAGCATGTAGATTTTAAAACTTAACTATTTTTATTAGGTATAGTATTAGGTAAACTTGTTAAAAAAAAGTAGGTATTTAATACTGCACATCTTGACAGCAGCAAGGATTGTATTTGTGCAATGCTGGAAAAATGAAGAAACACCATTAGATGAAGAAATAATTAAGAAGATACTAGAATGTAGAGAAATGGACAGACTGACATTAAAAATGAAACCAAAAGAAGATACACAATAGTATCAAACATCGAATCTATTTTATCAGTGATTGGAAAAAAGAGGTGGAGACTAAGAACGTAATATGTATTGTTAAGCAAATTAAATACCCAGACAACATGATGTGTATGAAGCACTAAGAAATGTAATTAATAAAAAATTAATAAAATTTATTTATTTATTTATTTATTTAATCAAATTTCTATACCTCCCTACTCCCGAAGGACTCAGGGCGGTGAACAGCCAAGATAAAATACAGATAATACAAATATTAAAAATCCCTTAAAATTATTAAATATTTTGGCCGAAACACAGATTAAAACACCCAATTTATAAAGTCACGAATTAAAAAAATTAAAAAATTTAAAAGAGGGGAGTTAGGCCAGGCCAGCTTGCTGAAATAGAAAAGTTTTGAGAGCACGGCGAAACGTGCACAGGTCCGGGATCTTCCGTATCTCTGGGGGGAGCTCGTTCCAGATGGTAGGTGCCCCCACAGAGAAGGCTCTCCCCCTGGGGGCCGCCAGTCGACACTGTTTGGCCGACGGCACCCTGAGGAGCCCCTCTCTATGGGAGCGTACTGGTCGGTGAGAGGCTGTTGGTAGCAGAAGGCGGTCTCGTAAATACCCCGGTAAATAAATAAATAAGAACAGTTCTCAATCATTTGAATGTACAATAAATCATGTGACTGACCATGGGGATACTGTTACAGTCATAAGTGTGAAAAATGGTCATAAGTCACTTTTTTCAGTGCTGTTGTAATTTTGAACAGTCACTAAATGATCTGTTGTAAGTTGAGGACCTTGAAGGCTTTAATATAGTTGCATTATAAACACCATTAGAACTCTGTTTACAAAAATCCTAAACTCGTACCATGTTGAGTGCCATATAGTCTGAGGGACCCATTATTCAGCACTGTATCATTTTCGATCCATATGGTTTTCTTAGTAAAAATACAGGAGTGGTTTACAATTTCCTTCTTTGTAACATTAATAGATGCCTTTGTCATTATCACTAAAGTTATTATCTGACTCTATCTTCTTATGTCACTGTTGCCCCATATTTTGTAGGTCCTTGCTTGTTTTAGCTGGGGAATTGGGATGACCTTCACACCTTGTGTGACCTTTCTGGAAATCTATATATATATAAGCCAAATACCACTCACTCATCATGAAATCTCCAGAATGGTAAAGCCTACAAACTTGAAATTTGGCACGTTTGACCCTTTTGGCTTCTAAGTGCTTGCTAAGAAAAGATTTTTCAAAATGACCATCAGATCATTAGTATTTTATATACAGTATATTCACACGCTCTGATGCTAAGGAGTTAGATGTTCTACTCCCCCTTCCCACCTGAAAGGAACTCTGTCCCAACTGCCAGTTGCCTTATATTAACACGCTCTGATGCTACCCCTTCGTTAAACCAGGTGTGGGCATGGCCAGCATGTGACTCATCCGACCTGCGGGTTGGGACATTCTACTCTCCCTCCTCCTGTGTTCCAATTGCCAGTTGCCTTATATCAACATGCCCTGATGCTACGGAATTACACATTCTACATTAGGTTTCAGGCTTTAAGTTTCAATTTATCAAGCCCGATCACATAGTTTCATAGCAAAGCACTCGTGTCCAGCTAGTACAGTATATATTCTTGGTCAATACTCCTGACATTCTTTGGTCATTTTTCCCAGGAACATGCACAAAAACACTAACAACTATTCTAATTCACCCTTCATGTTTCAATGTTTTAACAAAATAAATGCCTCATTATACAACAATGCCTTGCCAGAGTGTTTTGTGTGACACATTGAAAGGAGAGAAATTAAGAATTTAAATAGGCCTCTAAGTTAGCTTCAGTCAGTGCTTGGTATATTTGCACTCCATCTCTCAGTTCTATAGTAAGCCAAGGAGCTGATTAAAATCTACCATTTCCAGAACAGGAAAACAGGCATTTTGGGGCAATAACATTATTTGCCTGCACTGTATCCATGTTCCACAGAGCATTTAGAACTTTGATATTTTCACTGAAATGAAAAACTTCACAAGAAAGTAAACAGCTGCATCCATTAAGAATTTGGTCAGACCATTTTTATTAAGTTTTCATAGCTGGAGAATGGACCAGTTGTGTTTGTATGGAGTGCCATTTTAAAACTAGACCATGTTCTCCCATAAACTACAGATTTAAGTTTTTTTTAAAGCTTTTTTAAAGATTCTCCTTGGGAACATAACAATAGAGGCTCTCATGATTGTCATCTGATCTTCAACATTTGCTAGCTACATAGTATAGGAAAATGAGAAAACAGATCAGTTTTATATTTTATAAATGACAAAGCAACTAGAAAGAAAGAATTTTGGAAAGAATTTTAAAAGAACATGACTACTCAATTTAAATAT